AGAGGGGGTGGGGGGTTGTGAAATATGTTGTTGCTGCTGGAAGACAGCTTTTTTCACTGCTATGAGCATTTTTTTATTGTCTGAAAGAATGTTGCTGTCAAAAAGTGCGCACATAATGAATTTGTATGGTGTTAGTATCTCGCCTTTCCCCACAGCATGGGCCCAAGTCGTACATAGGAGATTGAAAACGCATTCATACTAGCACCATACACATTCATTATGTGCGCACCACCAAGGGTAACAAAAGACAAAATGGAAAACAAGAATATTACTATTACAAAGGCCGCATAAATCTATTGTGTCCTATTATGACCTTTATCCCAATATGGGTGGCATATGACGGAGATATAATTATTGTAAGTGTCTCGGGAAAGAAAAAGAAATTAAGTGTCCATTGTGCATCAGATCTTAATCGTAACATTTACAGGACAACAATCATAATATACCTAAATGACCGATACAAAACTAGAAAGAAAATCCAAGCTAATGTGATAAATACTCTTTGGATAAAACACTCGGTCAAACTAGGGCATACTTGGTTGTAACCTTGATACTCAACAGAAGAGCTGGAGGTAAATGTTTCTCATTCAGGAAAAGCTAAAAAGTGAAAGAAATTAACTGATTGAAATCAAGCTGGCTTTAAAAAAAAGTAATTAACAACACAATGTAAAACATATTTAGTAGAAGATAAAGAACATGGATAGATTGAGACACCCCCCCACCCCCACACACAACAGAAATTTAAAAAATAACAGTGAATGAGATTTCTTTTCGAACTCTGTAACCCCGTCTCTGGGTCTCTCCTTTTTAGTTTTTGTAGAGGTTTTACGGCGCTCGCAACTGCATAAGGTCATATGAGCGCCATGGGTCACTCCGCCAACAAAATTGCTGTGTGGTCATAAATATCATCAGGACGAAAACCGTGTTCCCGTGTCCTTGTACGTTTGTAACGTATTAGACAACCCCTCCCCCCCCCGGGGCAGTGCCACTGACTGTAGTGTCTTTAGGCCATTCCCAAGGGGGGTACATGTCTCGTTCTAGTTTACAGTAGAATTGTAAATGGGCTGGTTCATCATGTCACTCTCATAACTGTGCCTGATCTACAACAGGGTACTGTTGCTTTTTCCCCCCAATCCTTACTATTGTCATTTTCCTGTACTTCTTTTGTATGTTTGTCACTCTCTTGTGATCCGCTATTTCCGGGGTGCCTTGATAGTCGAAGTAGACTTTGAGCTGCTGAAGCAAGAGAGGTGAGCAGAGTAGGTCTGATTCCCTGTAAGGACTTCTTTGTTGACATCCACCCCTTGGCGCTCATATAATCTTATGTAGTTGCGAGCGTCGTAAAACCCTCTACTAAAAAATAAAAAAAAGACAACCACGACAGAGCTCACGGTCATCAACCTCACATACCACCAACAAAGCCGACCGCAAGTGCGAGGCGTCATGATAGGAACAATTCTAGATTCAATTCTTCAATTCTTGAAGTAGCCGCTAATTTCTATCTGGACAAAGCATAGACCCAATCCAAACCGCTATTTGGATGGAATCATTGATAATGATTATAATAACAGATAACATCGCAAATTTCAGTTCAACAGCAAGCTCTATACGCTGTACAATCTATGTTGGTCACTTTGTCCACTTTCCCTCCAAGATAAGAAACAGCATGAAAACCGATGACACTTGTCATACAATATGAGCGAATTCATCCTGTCCTTAGAGTAGAGTAGTTTTCTTATATCACCAAAATAATCACATACACCACTGTCATAGAACTCACATACACCACCGTCATAGAACGGGCACAAGATTATTTCGTTGCAATTAAAACCTAAATCGTGACTTCCTACCTCAGTCATTACTGACTCATTACATCACTAAAATCGCATAGCAAACTTATACATACTTACTGTTAATTGGGATAATAAAGGTGTATGTTAGATTTCCTGGATATCAGCACCCTTGATACACAACACAAAGCACAAACAAAATCAGACCCCCCCCCCCTTTTTTTTTTCAAAGAAAAAATATTTTTAAAATGCAGAAAGAATCGAAGAGAATTCAGCAAATCTACATCGCAACAATAGGACGAAAGTACAAAGGCGTGGACATTTTGCCACCATCTATCACAAATGAACAGGTTAACTGTGCTCGGTGGAAATTAACGAATTCGCCCTTATGTAATAGTTGTAAAGCGCATAGAGCATGCTCTTGAGCATGGATATGCGCTATATAAATGCAATTATTATTATGATTATTATTATTATTATTATTATTATTATTATTATTATTATTATTATTATGTGAGAGGTGTAA